TTAGTGTTTTCATAGTTTCATCCATGTATCAGAATTTCATTCATTTTGGGGGCTGAATAATACTTCATTGTATGGGCATACCACATTTGCTCATTTATTCATCCATTGAAGGACATTTGGGTTGTTTCCACCTTTCGGCTATTGTGAATAATGCCGCTGTGAACATTGGCTTTCGAGAATGTGTTTTAGTCCCTATTTTCAATTCACTGGGGTATACACCTAGAATCAGGATTGCTGGATCATATGGTAATTTTATGTTTAACTCTTCAAGGAACCACCAAACTGTCTCCACAGTGACTGCACCATTTTACATAACCACTAACAGAGCATGAATTTGCAGTACCTCCACAGTATCTCTACATTGTCAACTTATTATTTATTTATTTTTTTACAATAGGCAGCCTAATGGGTGTGAAGTATTATCTCATTGACTTTTGGCTTGCATTTTCCTAATGATTAGTGATGTTGAGAATTTTTTGCCTGTGCTCATTGGCCCTTTGTATATCTTATTAGAGAAATCTCCATCTAAGTCCTTTGCCCACTTTTTACTTGGGCTGCTCATTTTTCTGTTGTGGAATGATAGGAATTTTATGTATTCTGGACATTAATTCCTTATCAGATGTATGATATGAAAATATTTACTCCTATTTCATGAATTGTCCTTTAACTCTGTTGATAGTGTACTTTGATGTACAGAGGTTTTAAAACTTTGATAAAGTTCAGTTTATTTTTAGTTATTGTTTATACAAATAAATATATGCATTACTAGTGATGTTTCACCCACCACATGCCCATTTGTCAGCTGATACAGAAGGTATTTTGTAGGTAGGATAGGAGTTCCACATCATGTAGAGCTGGCCCTGGTAGTTACATGTGATTGACTACTACCAATCTGTTGTAATGCTGTATAATTCAAGTGTTTCCATAAGTGGATTGTGGGCTCATATTTTTATGTTATTTATGTACTTTGTATAATACATGTATTATACATATATTTATATATGTGTATATACATATGTATAAATATATATAAATATATATTTTATATATATAATTTATATATTATTTATTTATATATTTACTAAATTAACAGTCACAATTGTGGAACCAAATGATAGATAAAATATCTTGCACAGAACATTCAAATGCAAAATAAAACTAATAATGCAAGCTGAAAGCAATAATAAGACCATGGCAGAGTTGACACTTCTACTCTTATTAGGAGCTCTTTGTCAGCCACATTAAGAGGATCTAACAAGAAGTCAGTAAAAATTCACAAATATCAATGCAACTATTTTAAAATATGGATTTAACTCAACTATAGTTAACAGCATATCAAATTAAGTGTATGCTGTGTGTTAGGATATTAGTCAATGATAGTATGGAGGTATGAAAGTTTGCAAGACATTTATAAGTAGTTTATGTTTATTATATCATTTTGAATGCTTTTAAAAAATTACTGTATCTAGAACATCTTTTTAGAGTTGGTTCATACCACATACATACATAAATTAATATTTATATAACCAACACTTAGTGGGAATGCATCCTCCAATTTTTCTTATTGATGGGGGTAGTTTAAAAAGTTTAGAGACCACTGGAAACCATAAAAAGAAGTAAACTTATAGATATATTTATCTATCAAGTTTGTCAAATGGAAAACTGGCACACTTTTATGCCTGGAATTTCTTCTTGTTTAAAAAATGTAACATTGACTCGATTCCAGTCTGTTTGGCAAAAGTTCCCTGGTGGATCACTGCAAAGGCAGCAAAGCATTAGCACGTTTGGCTTTATTATTTATATGACAGCAAGTGTGCTTTTTTGTTTGTGTCGATACAGAGTCTGTGTGTGTATAGTTGAGTAATCCGTGGGACAAAACAGTTACAACCCCAGGAGACTGATTTGATGCCCGAAGAAAATACCGTAGCTGAGTTGTGTGATGAAAGCCGTTCTGGACCTAAGTTGTGTTAATAGAGAAGATAATTTTTCTGAACAGCAGACTGTGGATAATCAATCACATTGAATCTGGGTTTCTCAGATTCATTGTACCATTCTATTATCCAAGCTTATAGATTTGCCAGGGTCCTTATTTACCCAGACATTCTCCCGCTGGTTACCCTTCTGCCCATTTCACTGCTCATTAACACATCATGGAAGAATGAACCAGGGCTTTATTCCCTGTTGTTTACATTGGCATGAAATTTTTGAGTTATATGTGAATTTTCTGTATCCATGTGGATTTTGACTTCACAGTCATGGGTAATCAACCACCAATCAAACCTACTTTCAAAACAACATCTTAAAACTTAAGACAAGCTTTTCTGTTCACGCTTTAGATGGTCATAGCTGTAAAGCCATTTATGAGAAAACCTGGAATTTTGATATAACTAAACTTATGCACTTCTTTGAAACTGGAAGGGCAGCAAAGCCAAGCTAGATACTGAAAATTTTTCTACTTGAAACAGCCTGAAGTTAATTGAGAAGAAAGCATTAAGCTTGTATTTATGCCCCTCCCCTAAAATCTGCAGGTTGGGGGGCACCTGGGTGGCTCAGTCAGTTAAGCATCCGACTCTTCATTTTGGCTTAGGTCATGATCTCAGGGTCGTGAGATCAAGCCCCACGTCAGGCTCTGTGCTGGGCATGGAGTCTGCTTCAGATTCTCTCTCTCTCTTTCCGTTCAACTCCCCCCCCACCCCCCCGCCCCGTTCATGCTCGCTCTCTCTCTCAAAAAACAAAAAAAGAATCATGGAGTTAGAAGGGAACTTAAAGAATACCATATCATCTTTCCTCCTCTCTGAAATTGTGGTTATCTGAAATCTGTAGTAAAAGCTTCCTTTTTCAAAGGGAGTGTTAACTCTCTCTCTCTCCCTCTCTTTTTTAAGATTTATTTATTTATTTGAGAGAGAGAGAATGAGAGAGAGTACACGAGAGGGGGGAGGGTCGGAGAAGCAGGCTCCCCACCGAGCAGGGAGCCCGACGCGGGACTGGATCCCGGGACTCCGGGATTATGACCTGAGCCGAAGGCAGTTGCTTAACCAACTGAGCCACCCAGGCGCCCCGGGAGTGTTAACTCTCTTAACAGAGAATTGCCCTGTAAAACATCCCTGAAAGACTTCTTTTTTGCCCATTCTAGATGACCATGTCTTCTGGACTGTTTCAGGTGATGGGGAGCTTTCTGCATCCTAAAGTGGATCACCAGTACCTTAAATTGTTCAAGTCCAGATTTGATCTTCAGCTGGCTGACCCCTTCCCTTATCGCATCCATCTCTGGCTCTCTTATTCTTTAGTCCCAAGGAATCTGTTCTTTGGCTTTGCTAAACCTCTAGGTTTATCATCTTTTCCTTTTTCTCTCAATCTATGAGTCATCTTTGGCTTCACATACTTATCTGCTTAGTCAGGATCCCATAGTCCATCACCTCAGTTTCTCTCTTAACAACCAGTTCAACTTCCCTGGTTTCCTTTCTGAGCATATCCTGCAATCGGCATGTTCAGTTCCATTGAATAATCAGACCTTTGCTATCAGAGAAACCTGTTCACTCATAGGCCCAAATAAGACAGGGCTCTTCTGTCCAACGTGCAACACAGCACTTTGCCTCCATGCCCCTGGAGACCCCTAGCACATCTCTGAGACCTTTGTTAACTTGTGACATTTTTCTAAGGTGCATCCTCTCTCCAAGAACCGTCAACAGATATTACTCACTGCAATCTGTTGGTGGTTCTTGGGAGAGGATGCAATACCTGCTCAAACTGGGTAGTGGGAAAGGAGCAGTGGAGTTTTGGGTGGACCAGTGACGGCAGTAACACATTTAAAGAAAATATATAACTGAGTTATCCTGAGACTCTTTACAGAATAGCTTGCTTAAATGTAGGTCTCCTAACAGGCTGTATTTCTTACCTATTTAAATTCCAAAAAAGATGACCTAGACTCTGATCAAGAGTGGTAGCATGTCAGGAATAGTGATAGAAAGTGCAAGGAGATTCAAGATAAATAGCCACCCATGTATGACATTGGACCCACATCCTGCATCAAATCATTTTTGTTTAACCTAAAAGAGAAAGAGAGACAAGAGAATGCTTGAGCAGGATGCTGGAGCTAGGAAGTAAATCTTCCATAGTCCTAACCAAGCTGGGTTTCTCAGTTTCCTGCTTAGAAAGTAGGTGCTGAGTCAGGAATCTGGGCTTCCTGCAGCAGAGGCATCCTTAGTGAATGTTTAGTGTATCTTTGACATAGACCAGACTCCAGAGCTGGTTTTGCTTTCCCAGTGGAGGGCTAAGCCTGTTCTGTTGTTGACAAAAATGTCTTTCAAGTGGCTCATGAACAGGGATGACCCAGACTCTGGACCAAGCCAACAGTCTGCTCCCTCTGACCCCATACCAGGGCATCTGCACCCTGCATGATACTGCCTGAACAATATACAGTCTCTACCTCAGCCAGAACCATAATATTGTTGGATACTATTTTACTTGTTATTGTTCATCTCCCATTCAGGTTTCCCACAGCAGCTGTTCTAATCCTCAATATTAAGCAATTTTATTACTCAGCTACATTCACTTTACTCTTAACAGGTAATCATGCTTCCTATAAGTCATATATGTATTGCATCTCTTAGATACAGTAGTCCCCCCTTATCTGCAGAGGATATGTTTCAAGACCCCTAGTGGATGGTCCCTGGAACCACAGATAGTATTAAACCCTATGTTTCTTCCTTTATATACTTACCTGCGGTAAAATTTATAAATTTGGCACAGTAAAAAATTAACAACCATAACCAATAATAAAATAGAAAAATTACAACAATATACTCTAATAAAAGTGATGCTAATGTGGCCTATTTCTCTTTCTCATAATATTTTATTGGACTGTACTTACATCCTTCTGGTGATGTGAGATGATAAAATGCCTACCTGGAGAGAAGAAGTGAGGTGAATGATGTGGACGCTGTGACATAGCATTAGGCTCCTATTGACCTTCTGACAATACGTGGATTATTTGCTTTCAGATGCAGTCGACCACTGGTAACTGAAACCATGGAAAGTGAAACCAGACATGAGAGGTCTGTTGTACAAGGTAGCGCTTTTATTGTTTTTACAAATGGTCTCATTAATATTAACATCAACTTTGTGTAGACTTACTATTCCCTCCTTTCAAGACAGTATGAAGCCTTAGAGAGTTCAAAACTAGGTCTGAGGAGCCACTAAGCCTCTGTTTTTTTTTTTTTTTTTTTTAAGATTTATTGTTTATTTTAGAGAGAAAGAGCAAGTGGGTGAGGGGCAGAGGGAGAGGGAGAGAAGCAGACTCCCCCCTGAGCGCAGAGCCTGACCCGGGGCTTGATCCCATGACCCTGAGATCAGCACCTGAGCTGAAATCAAGAGTCGGATGCTCAACCGACTGAGCCACCTAGACGCCCTGCCTCTGCTCTTTTTATTACTTCATGCTTTCTCTAGAAAATAGAACATATCAAAACAAAAACTAATCCAAACCCAACCTTTTTTTCTGAACTGCTCTAGATATCTGTTAATAAGGAGAAAAAACTTAAAGTTTAGAAATCTTTGACAAGGTAAAAGCTGAATAGAAATTGCATTCAAATGTGAGTAGCTGATAGGAATGTATTTCTCTACACAGATTGTAATGAGGGTGGGAATGTGAGGGTGAGGAACTGGTTGAGGAGAGAGTGGGTTGAGGGTGAGCTTGTGGGAGGGTCTCAACATTTGAAAAGAGGAAGCTTGGAAAGACCAAATGCAAGCATTAAGTGGTTCTCAGTTTTACCCAGTATTGGCCCTTTCAGTGTGCAAGACAACTTAGGGAAGAAGAAAGAACCAAGGCACTGCCTCTAAAAAAAGAGCAATAGCTGAAAAGTTAAGAGAATGACTTAGGTTAAAGGTAATATATTAGAGATTATCTTAGTTTCTCTGCATGTAGTCTCAATCAGCATTTCCCCAAGTATTAGCCAAGATTTCATTACGGCAAAAAAGAACAACCTATATATTCATTCGTGGAGTATAGTGATAACCCATGGGGAGAAGCCTTCAGCTTGTGGATGGCAGCTTGGCCAAATTTAAGGACAACATTGTTTGGTTTCCAGAGGAAACATTCCACTCACTTTCCCCCTTTTTTTTAACTTGATGAATTGTGGAACCACTCATTCTCTAGAGGGTCAAGTAATAAAAACAAATTATATTTAAATGAACACTTGGTATTTGGTTCAGCAAACTGTGACCTGGAGTCATTTTAAAGACCTCCCATGTTTTTAGCAGAAGAAGTCCTCTTTCTGCGGATCAGACTCAAGTCCAATTTCTTATTTGGCTCTTGACTTAAATTGAGTAAGTCCTTACTGAAAGTAGACTGCTTGGCTGTGTGTCTCCTGGAAATAATCTCCTCCAGGACCTAAATGCTCTAGTTAATGAGATACCTCCTTGTTATTGCTTATAAAGTCACTAATAATTTTCTGAGAGTCTGTGTATAAAATTTATGTTAAGTGTGTATTCTCCCATACAATAACTTGAGTAACTATTTTCCCATTAAGGCAAACTCTTGGCTAATGTATTTTAGTAGAAGTTTTATTCTGAAGGGCTACTTCTGGCCATTGGAAATATTTTTTTCCTATTTAATTTTATATAAACCACTTGGTTATTTATAGGCTTGTTTATAGATTGTTTATTCCACTGTTTATAGCTCTAATTAGGAAATGTACAAAATCAGTTGTTAAGGAATTGTGAGTCAGTAACACAGCTCTTTGAGATGTATGAACGTGAGATCTGGAGATCTTATAGAGAGATGACTCTCCTGCAGTTCTGTCACTAAGCATCTGTTCTGCTTTGTGTGACTATTTATCCTGGCCTTTCTGAAGGGTAGAACCAAAGGCAAGGGGAAGAGAAGGGGCTCGGAGTTAACCCTATGCCCGGGGAACAAACTTAAGCTAATCGTTCCACTAGGGGTTTGAATCCATGATCTTGACCTCATTATATCAAACTCTAACCCACTGAGTTAACTAATAATAAGAAGAAACCTATGCGAGAAACCTGATGTCAGGTCTAAAGCAATACACGGTACCACATCATCCGAGAATCACTGCTTGAGTTGTTACCATTAACTCAAGGAATTTTGGAAACCATCTTCTTAGGAAAAATGTTTCATATGCCTTACAAAGTTAGAGAATTCTTCAGGCTTCAACAGTGTGGATTTGGTGCCATGACCAACTCATAGGGAATGATAATAGTCTCTGGACTTAATGAGGTAACGACTGGTATTTTCAAAACAGAAGGAAAGATTTCTTTTCTACTATATGTCTCACAATGAGAAAAAGCCACAAGGTACTAGAACTATTGCCATCCTCATTCACTTGCAGAGTGAAAGTGAGAATTGACTCCCTATTGGCTCATAATCCTGGGCATGTGGGAAATGTGTCATTCATTCATTCTTTTAATCAAAAATATTTATTGAGCTGCTTCTTGATGGCAAGAATTGTCAAAGGCATTGGAAATGCCGAGATGACCAAGATGGACAAGGCCTGGGTCCTATGGAGCCTGTATTACTGCAGGGAACATAGTCAATAAATAAGGAAGCAAGTACATGAGCAAGAATTGATCATTACATGCTGATAGTAGCTGACCAAGTTTGCATGATGAGGTTTTTCTCAAACTTCAAAAATATATTCTCCTGGAGGTACAAATTGTTGAAAACTATAGATATGTTGCTGTGGATGTGGTCTGTTGAATGGAATGAGGTGAAAGATCTCTAAAATCCCATAATCAAATATGAAGCATTTTTGCAGTTTCCATTAAATAGTTTGGCTTTGAAATCACACACATTTACATTCAGATCTTACCTCCTCCACTTGTTAGTGTTAGGAACTTGGGAAAGTTTTTTAATCTTTCTGATTGTCAGCTTGCTGGTCTGTAAAAATGATGCAGGTTTGCCGTATGAAATAGTATAATATAAATAAAATACATGGCACTTAGCAGGTACTCAAGAAATATTAGTTCTACTTTCCAGTGAAAAAGAACGATATAGTGTTCCCTCTTACAATAACCAGGTGTAACTTATTTTGACCATTAGGTATAAAAATGTAGGAATACAGTAAAGAATTTGAGCTATGTTACTTTGCAGAATGATTTTATTAAAATACATATAATTCCCTCAAGAGCATTGTTGGCCTTAACTGTAAAGGCAGTTCCATTATAACCCTGCTTTTTAAGATAAAATGAACATTTGCTAAATCATATTTAACTTTTCACTAGTGATTTATAATAGTCTTTATCTGAAGATATTTTTCTTCCAACTTTGCAGAGTTGAGGAACAGAGCAGACAATAGGTTAAGGGGAGAACTGCATGTTTAACTTAAAACTTTTCATCTCTGTGCTCTGATCTAAGCATTCCTTTTTCAGGTAGAGGTTTGGTATTTGAAAAGTGAAAGAATCAAGTTTCTTGGCACTCTGTGGCCTGAAACATTTATCAAAATAAACCCCAGGAGCTGGGCCTTTGGAGATTAGAAGAATGCAGTGCATGTGGCCAGGGGTGTGAGAGAGGGGAGATGATTGCCCCTGAGGGAACTGCTTTCTGGAGGCTTCTGTGCTCCAGCCCGGCTGTCTCTCTATTAGTAACAAAAGACTTGCCTTCCTCAGCCCTAGGCATCTGGCTTCATTCCCAGATGCTGCTCTGAGGCCAGAGTCAAATACACAGAAAATATCTGGGTGTTTTAGATTCAATAATACTTGGTGTAGTAATAATGATAATAGTAATAAAAATTATATTAGTTATATTTATAAGTATATATAAATTTATAAATACAAATAATATAAATGATAATTGTATTAAATAAAATAATTACATAACAATAAGCATTATAATTACAGAAATAATGTTTTGGTATACTTACTAAGAATTTCACACACATCACTTTGAAACTCCAACCCAAATATTTCGATTTATTTTTTAAAAATTTCTTTAAAGATTTATTATTTTAGAGAGAGAGAGAGAAAGAGAGCATGCGGGGGTGGGAGGGGCAGAGAGAGAGTCTTAAGCGGACTCTGCACTGATCGCGGAGCCTCTCCTGTGCTGGATCCCATGACCCTGAGATCATGACCTGAGTCGAAATCAAGAGTCGAACGCTTAATCCACTGAGCCACCCAGGTGCCCCCCAATCCAAATATTTTGTTTCAGGTGCTATTATTTCCCCATTTCACCGAAGGAGAAACTGAGGTGCAGTTAAGTGACGTAACTTCTCCCAAGTCACCTAGCAGGTAAATGAAGATAGGAGCCGAGGCCATAAAACTCTGAAGTTTCAGTTCTCTCTCATACACATTGACAAATCTACATTCAGCTTCATTCTCTATTAATGATCCGATGACTTGAAGTTTCAGCAACATATGAAATGTGAAATATCAGCAACATAATCAGTTGTGATTAGTGGTACTAAAACAGCAATGTGCACTTTCCCCAGAAGAAATATAGAGAATACACATTTCCTCTCCATCCTAGCTAATGGCGCATGCTTGGGATGGGGCTCTAATTTAATTAGCAAATACAGTAAATCAATTGAGGAAAAAGGAGGAAGCATTTGTGATTTAGAGAGAGAATTTATATCTTTGGTTTGCAAAAGTCAAAAGAGCTATGTTTTCTTTTCCTTTCTGGATATCAATTCGTATTTTAGTCCTTGTTTTTGCATTTTCAAGTAAATGACCCCTTGACTGTTTTCCTTTTGTGCTCATGGACCTAAAGCCCAGATGGTTTCAGACATAACCTTCCCACCTTTTGGATGTTTTTTTAGCCAATCACTGAGCTCAATTCTGAAGAAGTCTTTCAGGCTCATTTGCTACCAGACCCGGAGGTGAGAGTTTTCACTTTCTGGTTTTTGTTTACAAAGGTTACTTTCATCCAAAATAATGTCCTGTGTTCCAGAAAAACTAAGATGGGGTCATTGTTCACTTTGAAGGACCCATACATATTAGGCTGACATTTTCTCCTGAGGTCACATGCAGTGGAAGAATTGTCAAAAGCTAACATTGCAGATCACCAACTTGACAGCCTCTTTCAAAGAGGTCACCTGAAGCACAAAAGACTTAGTCCAG